GTAGCCTTCAAGCCCTGTGACATTTGTTGCTCAGGTTGCTTTATTTTTCAATACTTTCTGTAGATTTCATTTATTACTGAAAAGTGTCCCTGGAATTAAAGTGGAGTCCCACCCACCCCCATGCTGCCAAACAAAAATACATAAATTGTTGTGTATCATGTGTACTGACCTTACCTGATTGCATTCCATCTCAGTCTCATAGTCAGAGGTACTAATACTAATCTCACGTTCCATAATTTGAATGACGCATATTGAACGTTCATTTCACATTCTTGCACTTTTTATTAAAGTGTAGGTGCGTTTATGCCCCCCCCCCCTTCCCCCACACAATTTAGATCATTTAGAAGAAGGTGGGCTTGTCAGGTCCAACCCAGGCGGAGACTGAGAGAGATACAAAGTCCAAGCAGAAAGACCCAGATCCTACTCGATAAAAATTCTCCCAACATGGGAATCAAACCCAAGTCTTTGGTCTGCGACGGCGAAGCACCCAACTGCTACACACCACGACAAATGCCAGTCATCTCTGCACATCTTTCATGGGTTTTTCTTGTGTCAAATTGAACTCTGCTTCTTGTTACATGATAAGAGTTTTTGGTTTTTCCTGTCCAGTTACATGTTTCAAACATCTACTACAATTTTCATGACTGGTCTAAAGTCATTGTGATAAATCAGAAGAGATGGGACATATTGGATATTATTAAAAGTGTTGTTCACTACTGGTACTGATAATTATGATGTGCACCAAAATGATTTTAAAAGTCCCTTTTACTTCCGACATGGAATTTGAAAAGCGTTTTCGAATTATCTTAAATAAATATAAATAATAAATGTAACGAGACTGTGCCTCATGAGATACACAGAAAAGTTATTTTTCATTCAAGAGCTGTAGAAGAGAAAATGCCTGTCTTCAAGTCAGTTTCAGACTGATTTATGATCGTTCTTATTTAACCATATATTACTTCACCCCCCGGGGCGGTGCCACTGACTGAAGTGTCTTTAGGCCATTCCCAAAGGAGGGACATTAACATGTTCTTATGCACAGTAGAATTGTAAATGGGCTGATTCATCAATGTCATGCTCATAATTGTGCCTGAACTGCAACAAGGAACTGTTTCTTTTTCTTTCCTAATCCTTACTGCCGTCATTTTTCCTCTACTTCTTTTGTACATTTGTCACACTCTTGTGACCCGCTATTTCCAGGGTGCCTAGATAATTGAAGCAGACTTTGTGCTGTTGAAGCTAGAGAGGGAGGTAGAGTAAGCCTGATTCCCTCTACTGTATGGACTTCTCTGATGACATCCACCTTTTGGCGTTCATATGACCTTATGCAGTTGCAAGCGTCGTAAAAACTCTACTAAAACAAGCGTATGATTCATATACTGTGATCCATTTGGGTCTGTTCATTTTTGTTTTAGTAAGCTTTACAGCACTTGCCTTGCAACATAATTAGGTCTTATAGGTGCCGAAGATTAAATGTGTTCCAAGAGAGTAACGAAACACAAAAAAGAAGGAAGGATACGGATGATAGATGTTTGATAGGAAAGAAGGAGCAAACTACACCAGACAGAGCACCCGCCAACCAGCCATGGGTTGGTTCAGTTTCTCAAATATTACACCATAACAAAGTGATGTCTTGTGAAAACAAGTACATAAATATATAGATTAAACGATATTATCCAAGCATATGGTCGCTTTTAAACACAAGTAGGCTATCCTGAAAAATGGTGTTTTGAGAAAATCGAAGGAAAAGTTTATGCCCCTTGTTTAGTTTCTTTAAAAGACAAGGAGAGTTTTCTCTATAACCAAACAAATACACCCACTAATGAAACCAACATTTATCCTATAGACAGGCTAATGCCCACTTTGGTGTTGGTCGAGATTTCTGGATATCCCCGAAATCTAGGTTAGCCTGCTTGTCCTTAAATGCGACCCTATATTGTAGCAATGATATATTGCTGCCAGGTCAATGGTTTTTTTAAAGTGCCAGTGCATCATGGTTTTGAAGTAAAACTGCATGAATACTTGTTTACTGGCATATGTGTATAAGCAGACAAAAAGTTCTGTCGTAGATTGCTCAATCCAATATTAATTAATTAATATTATTATTATTTTATTTTTTTCTAAGATGTATTGTTAATAAAAATGGATTACTGAAATATTATTTACAGTATTTTGTGTGTGGCTTCGTAACATGTCAACCATGTTTACGTAGCCTTCTTAGATTTTTTCAGGTGTATAAAATTTTAAATAAAGTCCCATGTATCTTGCAAGATTATTATGTTGGTTATTTGTTTGAATTATGCCATGTTGATACTATACAATAAGACACAGAGTAACCCTGTCGGGCATTGCAGAGATAAAGCATCTGTGATAAAACGAGCTTTACAGAAAGGTTAGTGTTGTTAAGATTTTACACCAATGCAATTCGAAAAAATGTAATAGCTCCATTAAATTAATAATTCTGCATTAATTTATTGTTAAATCCAATACGAATTTTTAAAAAGCAATATAAGTACAGTGGAATCCTGTTGTAACGAGAGGGAGGGGACCGGAGCAAAATGTCCGTTATAGCAGGATTCTCGCTATGGGATCCAGTAATAAATTCAAGGGAAACTAAAGTAGGCCTTATCTATGAGTTTGGTGTTCTGTTTATTTCCTTTTGCTATCTCCCCTGATGATGATTTTGTTTCAACATGACCTCTAGATCTTACTTGATCAAAAGTCGAATCAGGTTTCTTTAGTTAGATCTAGCGATGTGGACTGGCAGCTCGGCGTTGGTGATCAGAAAGAAAGGGCTCTGGGCTAACTCGCCCGCTGTGTTTTCCCCCACCCCACCCTGTGGTGCATTCTGTCTGCTTGTGCACGTCACACATTCGCTCCATCCATCACATTGCTGTGACCTTCCCATCTCCGCATCGGAGAAGTGAGAGGCATGGTAGGCCTTGATAACTAAACTAGGCTTACGCTGGCCTATCAACCTCCCTACTCAGTCGCTCCGGCCTTCATTGTTGACACACATTCTTTGTTTTGCTAGATCACCAACATGTTTCTCAACTGGCGAGGTTTTGCATTATGTATAATTGGCCTATGCACTGTGCACAGCAGCAGCAGTATTGCGCTATAAGCGACTAGCATGTTTGTCTGATAGCACTATAGCAGTATTTTATTTACAAAGGTAAAGAGGAGAAAAAAACGGGGTTTTAGAATAGTGTCTTTATAACAGACTTCTCGTTTTTTCCGGTCGTTGTAAGTGGACTCTCCTGTAGAATATTCAGAAACATTTAGTTTTAGTAGTTTTACAGCACTTGAAACACAATAAGGTCATATATAAGTGCCGAAGATTGGAGGTTTTACAAGAGAGTAACAAACACAATTAAAAGAAAGTTTAGTTTTAGTAAGAGTTTTACAGCACTTGCAACACAATAAGGTCATATAAGTGCTGAAATTAGAGGTGTTACAAGAGAGTAACAAGGGGGGCTCTCGTGGCCTAGAGGTTAAGGTGTTGGCCTCTCATTCAAAGGTCCCGGGTAGCGACCGAAAAATTTTCTTCTCTAAAATTGTCTCCTTTCCCCTTCTTTCCTGCTCTCTAGCAATATTCTGTTGTCTGCTTTCATTTCCACTTTCTGACCCCACCCCCTCACCTCCTTTGCCCCCTCCTCTGGGCTCCTGACTCTTTCTGCAGCCTTTCTACTGCTACTCCTTGGCTCCTCCTTACTGCTGTCTTTCTGCCACACCCCTGATCTTCTGGTAGGAAAGATCTACACCTAGCCTTCCCGGACAAGGGCGAAAAATCTTGGAGGGCCCGTGTGCAAGTTGCGCTCGTTAAAGATCCCTTGGTGGTCTAAAATTGATAAGAGTAGGCTTCAGCCGCCACCCGGGCAAAATTCAAAATTTCCTACCAACTGAAAATATCAGGTGTGTCCCGCGCGCTCATATGACCTTATGCAGTTGCGAGCCCTGTAAAACACTTTACAAAAACAAAAAAAGAGAGTAACAAACACAAAAAAGAAGGAGGGGAGATAAAGACGAAAGATGTTTGATAGGAAAAAAGGAGTAAACCACACCAGAGCACCTGAGGATCCACCACTCACCCACATTGTATAAGCCACCATACCCAATTCATGCATCAAAATCACCGGCATCACAAAAAGGAAAGAACCACAATATTTCTGTTTCATATTCACTTGTATTCCAACCATTAAGAAATTTGAATTTCATAGTTAAAATAATTCTTTACAAGCAACAAAGAACATGTCAGGTATGTACACAGTACACTTGCAGGGGCTCTACTTCTAGATACCATCTTTCATTCAAACATACGCGCACACACACACACAAACCAACAGTACTGGAAAAATGATCCTACAGTTCCAAATTGATAAAAGTGCCCTTCCCGGCTACTTTAACTAAAAGGGATAAATTTGGGAAGGTAATTCTGCCAATATGCCATTTCATTCAAGAATGAATTATTCAAAGTATAGATGTCATTATGTTGCCTCCTCCATCACATCCCTAACTTTTATTTGTTACTCATAGGGCCAACTTTTTAAAAACTATTATCCACCCTCATCTCTGCCAGAGTGGGGTCTAAAATGTTAGAGAAAAACACAAAATCTTGTTATTATGACAATAAAAATAAATAGCATTTGCACAGCAAATATCCCCCACGCAACAGCAAGTTCTATGTACTTTATTATTACAATCTCTATCACCATCAAATAGCCAATTTAAAAAAATATCCAATCAGTCTCCTGTGTCTACATCATATCTTCATCCTCTGGCTCAGGGTCCCCTCTGTTTCGCTTGCTGGAGGTAATTTCTCTCTGGATCTCGGGCGAGATCTCGTGGTGGTCGTGAAAGGCGATGAGTCGGAGGATCCCAAGCTTGTGCTCCTTGGTGAGGTCCTGCTTGTAGCGCTGGACGAGGGTGAGCAGGCACTGGTGCCACAGCACGGGCATCTGGTCCTCCACCTCTCGGAACCTAAACAATGGGGGACATTCAATGAAAAGGGATGATAATGGCATTAGTACAGCTGTCCCCATGGTTTTATGGTTTTATCACACTGCATAATTTAGCAAAATCTGATCATTTTTTGCATAATTTCTGATTATTTTCCTTTCTCATTCTTTGTTAAAATTAACAGAATCGCATAATTTCACATTTTAGGACTCGGTTTGGATAATTTAAGAATTTTTCTTGCATAAAACGATGGGGACAGGTACAGGGCTGGCATAGTTTTTTTTGGTATAGTCGACTACGGATGAGTGGAATTCCTTCGAAGGAGTGAAAAAAAAAAAAAAAGATAAAATCATCCTAAGTGCACCTTAACCGTTGGAACCTGAAATTGTAAAGAAGAAGAGGTGCCAGGACCCAAGAAAAATATCAACTTAACAGAAGATGAACTCTAGCAGAGTCAACTTTACAAGCCAACTGTAGCCCTCCATTTGGAACTTACTTGACTGACCTAAAATGCACATGGGCGTCTTCGCTCTACATAGACAAGTAGGTCACCATGATGTCATAGAAGAAAGACACTTTTAACATTCCGTAATTTAAGAATTGGGGGTCGATGGGCCTACAATGCTACCTAATTTTGTACCTCTGAATCACATGTTTAGAATACTAAGAAATGCAGTCCATCGTGAGTCTGCGTGACAACATTCAGTTTCAACACAAGCAGATAGTAACTAGCTGCCCACGTGCCTTCAGCATGACAACCCAGAACCTATTGCTTAGATCATGGTATATATTGCTTTTGACTGCCACTACAGTCGCAACTAATTGACGTCAGTCTTACTGTCACTATATCTTTAAACTTTATCTACTAAATAAAAATTTTTAAAATTTTAATTTCGTGAGGCACTGTGGTTCAATCAGGTGCTCGTCACAATAACGAAATCGGAAAAACAGGCATTTTTCCGCCAGTTAGACAAGTTTTACAGAATTTTTGTTTTTTGGCTCTAATCCTTTTATGCCTATACAAAAACATAGTTCCATGTGAATTTTGCTGAAAAACATTGGTTAAAGGCACAAAATATGTCATTTTTCAGTTTTCAAGGACTCTTTAGCTATTGGAATTACCAAACTTTGGCCGCCATTTTCTCACTTATTTCACCACTGAAACCAGGCGACCTCACCTCTTCCAATCGCAAATATCTTGACTTCTATTCCAGATAGATGCATATTTTTTTCATTGAAAGCAAAACAAATGAATAAGCTTTCAGATGATACCATTAACTTTACAATGGCATACATAAACACACAAGTACATAAATAATACACTGCATCACAAACACGAACAATCCACACGTCATTGCTGGTCGCCACTGCGTAGCGCCCTGTTTTTTAACTATGGCTATTGCGTGTTGCTAAAAGACCCACCCAAACACCGTGTCACCAACGCATGTTTGACATTGTGAGCTCACAAACCAGCTTTGAACCTATAGGCTTACAGAAGAGCAGTTGCTCACATTTCTTTAAAAAGTGGAATTGGAAAGCAATGGCTCAATTCTAGAGTATTTTTTACGATACTTTGCTATTGAAACCTTCAACTTTTATTTTTTTAAATTCTAAAGCTTAAAATTATGAGAATCCGGCTCCATCTTGTTCTTGGGAATATTGAATGTTATCTTCATTTAAATTTTGAGGGATGAAGAGGGTCTGGTTTCTTCTACAAAGTGACGAATAGGTTGGTGCTACCAGAATCATACATCTACTCCACCATGGAACCCTTTAAACATTACCCTAAGGTATAAAAAAAGCCCCCCCCCCCCCAATTAATTTTCAGTCATTTTGCGCACCCCCTGCTCCTTATTCCATACCCTCCGTTTTTAAAATTTTCAATCTTGCCATGACTGACGATCATGTGAGTGAAACATTATATTCTACATTTTTAAAATGAAACTGGTCTGTTCCTAAACCGGAAAAGTTGTCATAGTAACTTACTAAGATCAGTAAAATTTCTTTTATGAACTGAAGGAGAAATAAAACAGATTCCTACTAGTGTGGGAGTATGAGGTTGAATGTGCTACCCCCCCCCCGTTTATTAATTTCGGACCACTTGTCCACCCCTCCTCCTCCCATTTATTAATTTCGGACCACTTGTCCACCCCTCCTCCTCCCATTTATTAATTTTGGACCACTTGTCCACACCCTCCCCCCTTTTTTAAAAATTCCTACCCCCCCCCCCTATTTGATACCTTAGAGTAGCATATATATGAACAGACAGACTGGTCAACTGACCCCATAAAATGTTCCACCACAGCGTCAATGGCGGAGAGAGGCAGGGAGTACTTCTTGTTCAGGATGGTTTTCATGAAGATGCTGTTGGCGCCGTTGTACTCCATCTTGGAGATGAGGATGAGAGCGGCCGCAGAGTAGCCGACGGGGATGGAGGTCTGGGAGACCACTCCGGCAACAATCAAAGCCTCTCTCAAGGTGCAGTCTCCTGACTAAGATAAAAAACAAACAAAACATAACAACAATTCTCCTTTTGTTTTAGTAGAGGTTTTGTGGCACTCGCAACTGCATAAGGTCATATAATAAGTGCCGAAGATTAGAGGTGTTACAAGAGAGTAACAAACTCAAAAAAGAAGGAGGGGAGAGATAAAGATGATACATGTTTGATAGGAAAGAAGAAGCAAACTACACCAAAGCACCCACCAATCACCCACAAACAAACAAACACATAACAATTTTCCTGACTAAGAAAACAAAGAAAAACAAAAACAATTCTCAAGACTAAGAAAACAAATAATAATAAAAGATAGCATTTGTATATCGCAAATCCCCCGCTCAACAGCAAGCTCTATGCGCTTCACAATCTATACTAGACCTGAGAGCTTTCTGAAACAATCTCAATTTCCTGGGAAGCATAGAGTGCAAGCAGCCATTTATAGGTGCTAAAACACTAACATACTGACAAACAAACAAACAAAAACATAACAACTATCTTGCACACTTAATAATATTACATTTTTAACAAATCATATTTATCTTGATAATTTGACAACCAAATTTCGAACCCCCCCAAAAAGGACATTTAACTTCCCATAATTTTTTTAATACCTTATCAATAAAAGATTCAATGGCACAGAAAAGACTTCACATACAAATAAACACCAATTTTAGACAAGTCGGTGTTTACAAACTGATCAAGGCCATAATCAAGAGTAAGTAAAGCCCTTAGACAAGCATGACAGACTTTTTTTCTTTTTTTTTTTGTAAAGTGTTTTACGGCGCTCGCAACTGCATAGGTCATATGAGCGCGCGGGACACACCTAATATTTTCAGTTGGTAGGAACTTTTGAATTTTGCCCAGGTGGCGGCCGAAGCCTACTCTTATCGATTTTAGACCACCAAGGGATCTTTAACGTGCGCAACTTGCATACGGGCCCTCCGAGATTTTTCGCCCTTGTCCGAGAAGGCTAGGTGTAGATCTTTCCTACCAGAAGATCAGGGGTGTGGCAGAAAGACAGCAGTAAGGAGGAGCTAAGGAGTAGCAGTAGAAAGGCTGCAGAAAGAGTCAGGAGCCCAGAGGAGGGGGTAAAGGAGGTGAGGGGGCGGGGGCAGAAAGTGGAAATGAAAGCAGACAACAGAACATTGCTAGAGAGCAGGAAAGGAGGTGAAAGGAGACAATTTTAGAGAAGAAAATTTTTCGGTCGCTACCCGGATTCGAACCCGGGACCTTTGAATGAGAGGCCAACACCTTAACCTCTAGGCCACGAGAGCCCCTTGACAGACTTTAACAACAGGACCATTAACAAAAAGGTGAGAGTAAAGGCAGAACTAAAAAAGAGTTTGGAGGCACTGACAAAATACAAAGCAAACCCACGTGCTTTCTTACATTCACTACCTCAGAATTACAAAGTTGTAACTAACATTTATCGCTGTTTTGAGTTACTAAGACCATGAGATCAGAAACCCTATGTTCTATCTGCTTTATCAAACTTAAAAGAATATTCGGATTCGTTATCATGACATTCAAAGAAATATATTTGAAAAAGCTTGGCACTCAAAAATTTTAAACGTCAAATTTCTCAAAAGTAGAAACTGAAAAGACAGAACTTTGTTATTCTAAGGTAGGGATAAATTACATTTCTTTACTTTATAAAGTCATTTTGAATGTGATTTCTTACACATAGATTGTCACCCCACACGTCTTCTCAATTACAGACTGTTCTACCAGACGTCTTGTCTTAGCCATGACAAAAACCTTTTCTTACACAGACTGACTGCCATTGTATATTCCTCATGTATACTTTTCTTTTTAAATGTGGCAAAACTGGAGAACATCATATCCTTCCATACATTACAAAGATGCAAACAGACCTACCTCACACAGAGGAAGCACAATGCCTTCATAAAAATCTCCAGGTTTGTAGATGGCTTTATGTAAAGCCTGAAAAAAAAAAAAAAAAAAAAAAAATTTTAAACAGAAATTTATACAAATATACACAGGTTCAAAGTATTTTGCTTCCACAACCTTACTTACGTAAGTTCAAAAACATATTTTTCCCCATACAGGTAGAAGATTGATTAAGCACAATGTCAGATATATCATTAATATACACACTTATACACGTCTTATCTTGATACACAAATAGAATATAACCTCTTCAAGCTGTTCAAATGTACCACCCACAGAAAGCAAAATTTATTTTAACAAGTGTACAAACATTGTGCTCTATTCTTCCTTTTTCAACGTTAAGAATTTGAATTTTGTCTAAATGTTTCTCGTGTACTGGTACAAGCAACCAGCACCACAGATTGAGAAATAGCAATTGTTAAAAAAAGAAAGAAAGGAAAAAAAAAAAGGGGGGGGGGGGGGGGTGTGTGTACTTTTAAACATATGGCCAAAGATAGGTAACCGTTCTTGTTTCCACAGAAAGACCAATTTAGAAGAAAACAAAGGCGGTGGAGTGAAAAGACAACAATTGAAGGGTGAATAAAGATTCCAACTTTGATCAGCCTAGCTGTTGAATTACTTCTCCGCATTCTGTTATAAACTAAAAATTCTGGGTAAAGACATCCAGACCCATCTCACTCAAATTTTCAAAATTCCTTTGTACAATTTTTTGGCTGTTAGAAAAAAAAAAGCTTGGAATTTGTGAATTGCCATTTGTTTCTCGACAAAGTAACGTCAAGGTACAGAGCTTTTATTTTTATCTAACGCAAAGTGAAAAGTTGTTTTATTCTTTTACTGCATAATAATATATTCTTTCAGTATAAGAAATTTCTAACTAATCACAGTAATGCACAAAGATAAACAAGCAACTAAACATGTGTGTAACCGACACCATCATCACCTCTGTCCAATTAAAATTTGAGCCAAGTTCTTCCTGCCAAGAGGAAAGACATGCATATAAAGCTTTTCGAATAGTTACATTTGCTACTGAGGAATGCAGTTGAAATTGTCCAAGATGGCCGCCCATTGTCGAGGAGAAAAGCGGCTGTCTTGGACTGTGTCATTATAATAAATTTTATAAACTGAAAGGGGAAGTGGGCAGTGGTTGTTAGTACAGGCGATTGCCTTGGACAGTCTCATTATAATAAATTTTATAAACTGAAAAGGGGAAGTGGGCAGTGGTAGTTAGTACAGGTGATTGTCTTGGATTAGACAGGTGGCCATTAAAGCAGATTCAACGGTACAGTGTCTTTTAGCTATTGAGATCACCAAATTCAATAGATGGGACAAACCTGAAAGAGGTGAAAGTTCAACCGTTTGTACTCAGCTATGTCGTCTCGTATTCTTGGAAGAAGAATCAAATTACAGAATCTGAAAGAAATAAAAAGAATAAAATAGGATAAAGTTACATAAAATGTCAGAGTTCAAGCCATCACATTCAAAATCATTATGCTTCTGTCCCATACATATGAAAGGCAGTTAAAATAAAGGTGTATAAAAATCAGCAGTTAGTACATGGAAAAAAATAAAAATATATAATGAGTGCACTGTTTTACCCCTCCCGTGGAAACAATCTAGATTACTTGTAAGGTGTGGGTGGTTGGTGAGTGCTCTTGTGTGGTTCGCTCCTTCTTTCCTATCAAACACTTATCATCCTTATCTCTCCCACTTCTTTTTTTTTTTGAGTCTGTAAATGTTGTGTAACACCTCTAATTTCCAGCACTTATATGACCTTACTGTGCTGAAAGTGCCGCAAAACGCTGACAAGTGGGACACAGCATTCCAGCAAAAAGTGGAGGGATTTGATCATGTAAACGTTCCCATAACATCACAAACTTCTATACTTTTTAAATAGAGACTTCTGAAAAAAGAGAACATTGCACTGGCCCAAGGACTTTGGAGTCGAGAGGTTTAAAAAAAATTAAAGCACTAAAAGTAAACTCCAGCCCTCAATTTGAAACTCACTTGACCAACTATACACATTCCTGGTCTCCACTGTTATAGGAGGTTCCATGCAAAGAATGATAATTCCACCTTATTCTAAGAAGGGGGCGGGGGGTGAAATCTACATATGTTTTACCATAAATGCATTTACTGGTTTCCTAAGTAGGACAAACAAGAGAAAAGAACTACACAGTCCAGACTGAACAAGTGCCAGTCCTACTGTGTTATTTCCACCATTTGGCAGTTCACATTTCACAAACTCGGCACATCCCGGTTTTTCCAAGCCAAATATACAAAAATCACGGAAGCACTACACGGCACACCACAGGAAGAGATGCGACCAATCATTAATTATTAAGTAGATGTTTTATTTCTATAATACTATTATTAGATTAGTAAAAATTTTACGACACTCACAACTGTTTATGGTCATATGAGTGCTCCTTGAACACTGTTGGTCTCCCATACTTCAAGTGTAGAGAGTGTGGGAGAGATTTATTAGAATGTGGAGACAGCTTATAAGCGTAAAATATATAATAAATAGACCTTCCAACCTCCTGGAATTTCTCAGGGGCTTCTAGACCAACCCCCCCCCCCCTCTTACATTAAAAGGAATACTGTACTGTAAATTAATTAATCATTATTCTTAACCCTTTCAGCCCCAGCCATTTTTGTGGATTCCCTAACTAAAGTCCCAGCCAATACAGCAATATTTCAGAAAAAGAGGCATGCATTCTAAAAAGTGATGTTGTATCTTTGTAAAGAGGTTTAGATAAAAACATCTAACAATGTTTAAAGGTAAATGTACAAATATTATGAAAATAAAAGTTTAATTAAGTTTGTTAATTTTAAAAAATGCACAAATTCAGTACCCCCGAAACTGAGAAAATATACGCTCTTGGGATGGTGGGAGGTACAAGCGCTGCAGAAAATATACGCGCATGGGGCTGGAAGGGTTAAAACTTGGTTGCTAAAGCAAGTGATGGTTGCATGACAGTTTTTGTTGTACTTTAAGTAAAAGTTCTACAGCACTTACTCTTTGAAATGGTACTTGGGCAGGTTGGACACAAATATCCGTGTGGCTGCATACACCGAGGCTGCTGTCCAGTTCTCTGGTCTAGTTAACTCCACCAGCTGTACATCATCAAAAAAACCAAAAAAAGCACATTATTAAACTAACTTTAAGAACAGCACCATAAGAAGAGGCTAGTTTGAAGACTTTCTTCCACATTGAAAAGGTTTTCCTCTTGAAAAAAAGAAAGCAGTAATGAAGCAGTTGGGAAAATGTTCGCGATCCAGGATTGGGGCTTTTGGTACTATATATAAATACGGGAAAGGCAAAGGATGAATCGTATTACATTGATATGAATACACAATCAGAGCCTTATAACAGAATTTCCCCAGAAACACAATATGTTCCCAAGTATAAGTATAACAAATTCAGAGTAATAAGATTATTGAAAGAATTATTCAAAGTACAGATATGCCCATCAACACAGAGATTGGATCGGGAGATGGAGAGAGGGGGGAGGAGTGTACAACAACAGACAGACAAGAAGCACAATCTACAAGTAGAGCCCTGCAGCGCTTACCCAACTCCCCATAAAGACAGAGAAATGCGCTAAAGCAAGCAAACACTTAGGAAATGAATCAGTATTTCAGAAAGAGTCATGCATTCTAAAAAGTGAAGCAGTATCTTTAAAATGATGTTTAGATAATAACATATAACAATGTTTAAAGATAAATGAAAAAATATTATGAAAATTAAAGTTTCATTAGGTTTGCTAATTTTGAAAAAATATGTAAATTCGGTACCCCCAAAACTGAGAATATACGCTCTTGGGACGGTGGGAGTTACAAGAGCTGCTGAAAATATACACGCATAGGGCTGGAAGGGTTAATAAAAAGTATTGAAACCATACCTGTTGCCAGTGCGGGAAGCTGGGAATTACTTTGAACCCTTTAGGCAGCTTTCCACTTCGATAGTGAGAAAGGACATCTCCAATCTGTATAAAATGCTGCCTCACATTATCATCTAGTTCTTCATCAATTATTGGAGCTTCACTCATCATTTCTGAAAGAAAACCAGAAGCAATTCCTTCATCAAAGTTTTTGGAGGACAGAAAGAAAAAACATTTTTTAATAAATAAATACTAATCCCCAAAACTCGGGGAAGAAAGTAATAATAATTCTGTACATAAATGAACAAGAATTCCACTCACTGAACTACAAAAAGGCGAATCTTTTCTCCCCTTATTTATAAAACTACACACATCACTGTGGCCTAACTTCTTACACAGCGGAGCTTCTTAACAGACACTTTGCGAGAGGTGTAACTCATGAAATTAGAGATGAATTTCATATCATTTTATATTGTCCAAATTTTGCCTATCAAAGGAAGTTGTTAATTCCTTCCAGACTGACTTTGCCCAATGACAGAAAAATGCATTGTTTGACCCATGATAAGACATGTGTGTACAACCTGTACTTTTTCATTACGCAAACTTTATATAACCCTATCCGTATTACGCCCTGGGGTCATTTTGTACCTCCCGCGGTTGTATTCTTCACATTTTAGAATACTTCTAGAGCGAAGATCTCTTTGAAACTTTCAGTATTTCTTAAAAAATCACTTTGACAGCGTACAGATCGAATTAACGAGTAAATTTCCTCTACGGAAAGTGGTGGCACAGAGTCCCCACGTTGTATCAACACAATAATAAAACATGACGTACTGATAGGGTTGGGAAATGAGTGTTTATATGACGTGATGTGGGCCAATGGCCTCAAACACTGAATAAACTTACTTAACAGACACTTTACACAGCTCATGAATACTGAGAGCTGGAATCTTTGGCTAGTCCATGTATCTTTTTTGGTAAGTGTTTTACAGCGCTCGCAACGGCATAAGGTCATATGAGCGCGCGTGTTACACCTAATATTTTGAGTTGGTAGAAAATTTTTAATTCTGCCCGGAGTTGCGGCCGAAGCCTACTCTTATCAATTTTAGACCACCAAGGGATCTTTAACGTGTGCGAATTGCACACGAGCCCTCCAAGATTTTTTTGCCCTTGTCTGAGAAGGCTAGGTGTAGATCTTTCCTACCGGAAGATCAGGGGTGTGGCAGAAAGAGAGCAGTAAGAAGGAGCCAAGGAGTAGCATGAGAAAGGCTGCAGAAAGAGTCAGGAGCCCAGAGGAGGGGGGGGGGGGGGGGGGAGGGGGCAGAAAGAGGAGACGAAAGCAGATGACAGAACATGGCTAGAGAGCAGGAAAGGAGGTGAAAGGAGACAATTTTAGAGAAAAAAATGTTTCGGTCGCTACCCAGATTCGAACCTGGGATCTTTGAATGAGAGGCCACAAGAGCCCCTCTGTATCTAGGCCACAAGAGCCCCTGTGTATCTTTAAAGCAAGAACAGCTTTCCTACTCTACATCCCCACAACCTACCTGTCATTGCTGTTTTCTTTTCTGCCAGCTTTTCACAAATAATGTCTGCAAGTGTCCTTCTTTCCTTTGGGTTGGGATTCATGAATCTTCTCAAATCTTCCTCATCTTCTTCATTAATTTCCTGAAATTTGGTCACAAGATTCAAATATGCTGTAAGAGGTACTTCATAAATATACTAGAAACGGTTGCAGCTCATATAGACATATATCCACTCATTCATAACCGTATTACCACTTCATTTTTTTGTTTATCATAAGGAAAAAAATATTTGCGTGCTTTCAAAAGCCATAATCTGAGGGAACACATAGGAAATTAAATAGTCTATCTCTGGTTTGTGCTCATTTCAATATACCCCCAACCCTAAACACGCAGACACCCTGTTTCTATGGTCATGCCTGTATCTATCTGTCATTCACATTTCCCCCTCTGGGAAAGAGCATTTACACCCCCCCCCCCCTCCATAAGCTAATCATGATTTTAACAAAAGAATTAGCTTCAAAAGGGCAATTTAACTTGTACTTTGTCTAGATCTACTAATCTAAATGTGATTTGTAAACCTTTATACTATGATCTTTGCAACAGTAATACAAGAAAGCTTTACAAAATGAGGTAACCACCATAACTCAGTACAATGTGATATATTAAAGTTCAAAACAGCACATTTGTTGTCTCGAAACAGGAATTATTCTACATCTTTCTTAAGAAGGACCGTTAGCTACAATATATAAAAACTTGATCCACTCACATACTCTTCTATCATTTCACTAAAAGTATTCTAATAAGAAGAAGAAAATGTGATTTATATAGCCCCCTAATCCCAAGAAGGCTCTAAGTGGTGTACAGAGCATAAGTACAATTCAATACCATAGACACTAATCTAAAGACAGAAAATGTACATTGTGTAACCATTTAACACCACATAGATAACTTACAGACCCACACACATTCTCACACATATAATATATGAAAACTAAAATCACAGGACAGCGTTTTTAACACTTTCAGTGCCGTCTGTGACTTTAAGTCGCCAGGCTGTAGCATGCACCCACTACAGCTGGCGACTTTAGTTGCTGACGCAACAACGGACACTAAACATAATCAAACAACGAATGGACGCACTGCACTAAAGTAAATACCAAAGGAAGTCATTCTATATAGCTGAATGGTTGATGAACCTCTATGAATTTTTAAAGCACGTTTCTTAGGCTGCCAAGATTTTTAAAATTAAATTTTTAAAAATTCTACAGCTTCAGCATTCTAAACTGGTGCAGTACTTGGAGCGTTTTTCACTATATGAGCCTTTGGTACTGTAAGTGTTAAGGAATGTGTCTATAAATCAAATATGTTATTTCAAACATTTGACACGCCATAAAACCTTACCGTGACAGTCTTCTCTAAGCTGCTGAAGTTTTCAAACAAATGCTTGGTCACATCTTCATCTTCTGAATCAGATTCAGCAGCAGCTGAAGCTCCACCGAGGCGGACTGCCTTCTTCCCTGAATCTTTTTTTTTGGACAGAGACGGCCAAGCACTGAAAGAAAACATTATACAAGATATCAAAAGCCATTTACTGAAGCTTTCATGTGTCGAGACTTGTTACAAGGGAGCACCCAAGAGCCATAAAAGCAGGTGTTTGTTGTTTCAACAGATGGTAGAAAAGAGGAAGAGCCATAAACAGGAAATGTAAAGCATTATATCAAAATACATCTTAACTGCTGCAAATGCATCAATTTAAATTTCTAATGCAGCAAAAATTTATAAAAGCACAAGCACAGTTGAGCAAGAAAGGGCACAGCAAAAACAGTAGGGGTGAATAATTTTTGCAAAATCTACATTCAAAACCAAAAACAAAATGAACTTGAGACTTTTTATCAAACCTTGTACGAACTAAACAATTAACAGTTCAACCCACTCTAACGTCCACTTGTCCAAGACAACCATCTGCGCAAATTACTACTTCTGACTACCCTCATGTGTTTTTAGAAATATAATCATGATGATACAGTTATCCAGAGTCCGTCTGTCTAAGACAACCACTTTTCTGTTTGACAATGGTTGCAACTTGGGCACATTCCTTACGACTTCGACGCCAAATTACTTTCCAGCAACTGATTAAAACAAGTCTCTTTTACCAGTCCATTTCATTCATTAGATGAAAAGCTTTCAAAATAGTTTCACTTAAAAAAAAATTTAATGACCAATTTGCCAAATGCCACTTTTCCATTTCGTGCCGAAACAGGGCCCCGGCATAGCCCCCCCCCCCCCCCCCAGAGATAAAAAGTTAAACATGTATATTATACAGTTGAACCCGCCTTAACGGAATCTCCCCGCTCCCCCCTTGATATATTCCTCTTTAACTACCAGTATAAAACGGAAACCCATCCAACGAGGAAATGGAAAGAAAAATCTGCTCCCTTCCGATGGTTTCACCTATCTAAGAAGGAAAATGCTTTGCCTGCTCAGCACTGATTTGAAACAAAACTCGCAAGTTGGGTTCTGCCAGCTCTAAACTTAACGCTATGGCCATGCCGCTCCGCGAGGAAGAGGATTAGGGGTGAATTTGGGGGTAGACGTTACCCCATCATGTGAGCCCTTAGCGATGCAGATGGTCAGGGGTAGTGTGGGTGTGAAATCTCACGATTGCCCGTGAGAGTGCTCGAGTAGCGAGCCACAACGGAAACTTTCCTGGGTCCAGAAGCCAGAGGTGCCAAATTAGATTGACCAATGCCTGCCGCCCTGATCATACGGCCAGCCTAGAAAAGAGTTTCTTGAATCATTGTTACATGATGGCAGTGAGGGGTGGCATTGGTTGACTGTGCTTGTTACACCGGTGGGTGGAGGGTAAGGGTGGAAGCAAAGGAGATGTTCAAACCTTTATGTTTTTAATAGGTCCTATAGGCAAGCACTGGTGGTAATTGGATAAGTAAGACTGACGCATGTCATTATTAGACAGAATACCAATTGAGAGGTGTGAAGTTTTGACCACTGCTTGCCGATCGGACAAGTGATCCTAGATCCCACCGGCTGGGCCTTTGAACCATCTCCCCCCCCCCCTGTCTAAGACGGAATTATTTTTCTGTCTCCCTAGCGATTCTGTCTTACACAGGTTCGACTGTATATATAATGGATTGTGTTCAAAGCTACATCTTACTCTTCACTATTCGACACATCCAGGTCCTCTTCTTGCTTCCGTGCCTGGGCCAAGATTTTCTTAGATAACTTTTCATCAACGAACTGAAAAAGAAAAGAAATTATTAAAAATTTGAGCCATACTGACAATAAATTATTGACAGTAACTAAAGACACTTTTGCTGATAAAGTTACTGATGAAATACAATTAATAAAAGAGCAAATAGTCTTACCCTTCAATAAAAGCAACTGAGAAGCCAAATCGGCAACCAGATGCTCCATCTACCACTCAGGAATTTTAAAAAAGGAGGAAATTCATACAAAGGCGTACACGTGCTCTCCGAAGGCCAGAGTAAAACCAGTGAGATCCAGAGGTGCATGCTCTTGGAACATTTTGAAAGGGAAAAGTGTCATACAGATTTGTTAACCATACTGAATTAAAATGTATATGAAAAAACCCCCAACCAAACCAAGACACTAACAAGCATTTCACCTGGTTCGGTGACTAAAATTCAGTGTTTGTGAAACGATGTAGAGCAGTGTTGGATTATGGAGGCAACACCTTTGCCACTGAATGAGATTTCTCTATCGCACCAAAAGCAAGTCGTGCAGCACCCGGCTTGTTAAATTTTGTAATGAACTGTTGAAGTTGCACACCGTCTGCTTCTCTCTCAGTCCAGCCCCAGTTCCATTTATTTTTGCATTCTGCATCAATTTCTCTTGAATTTCCACCGATTTTAATAACAACTCAGAGCGCCATCATCACAATGCTCGATCCACACTGTCCCTCCACATTTAAAAAAATGAAACTTTAGTGCCAGGCACAGAATGGAAGTAGGGAGCTACAGCCCGGCATGCGCAAACATTTTCATCTCACTCCCAGTTCGGTGTCTTCCGCGAGGTAAAAAAGTATGGCAATTTACAACCAAGAGTGGTCCAGCAGAGGAAGGAGTGGAGGAAAGTAGCGGGAAAAGCTAGATGAAGTAGAGGCAGTGGAGTTTCCACTAATTAGCCGAAAAGTGGCAGAATTATGATGATCTCACTTTGCGCCCTTAGGGCGACTTTGGCTGGGATCGCAATGTACGCTCAAAGTTGTTCGCTGCGACAGGAGGCTGTGACAACAAAGTTGCCACCATCAATAATTTAACAGAGACGAAGGAATTAGAATCAACAATATATCAGTGAAACTCTATCGTCTTTTTGGGACGCCTTCAAATCGGCAAAGTGCTCTTTGAATGTCGACAATATATCGCAGTGGCTTTGTTCACGGCACCGTGAATGTAGGTTGCAATTTAAGAATGATCCTGCTCACTTCACCCCCTACCCTTTTCCCTTTTGTTTCTTTTTTTTTTCCGGAGTGTCTACGCACACGGTAACCGGGCACCTAGTCTCAGTATCTACGCACACGGTAACCGGGCACCTAGTCTCAGCATCCACGTACACGATAACCGGAATGAAAATAAATCAATATTTGTCTTGTGCTGTCACTTGCTGAAAAAGAAAGAAAGTCATACAAGCGTCTTGTCAGGCTCGCCATCGTGACCAGTCGATGAACCTGTGCGAGCACATCACAATGCGAGTATCGGTTGGGGTCACCAAAGTTCATTCAAAGTCAAAGTCAGTGCGCGGCGAAGTATCGGGCTCTGGAATGGGGGGGATTATTGATTTTTTTTTAAAAAGTACAGTCGGGGGAGGGGTGGGGATGAAGGCAACACCGGATGACAAAAACTGAACTTGGGAGTTCTGGACTGCCCGGTTACCATGTACGTGACACTGAGACTACGCGCCTGGTTGCTGGTTAGCGTGTATGTGTAGATATTGAGGCTACATGCCCGGTTACCCTGTGTGTATGTGACACTGAGACTACGTGCCCGGTTGCCGGTTACCGTGTACGTAGAAACTGAGGTTAGGTGCCCGGTTACCGTGTACGCAGACACGCCGGGGTTTTTTTCCCACCCCCTCCCACCCCTCTTCCCGTCTTGGCCTTCTTCCATTCCCCTTTGTTTATTCGAACGACTTTTATTTTCAAATTGTTGCTGCTGGGTCCGAGTGTGTTTCCCACGCTGAGCGAGCGAGGCCTCGACGACCACGGCTATTTTGCTGAGCCTGCCTTTGCCCTCCATAAACTTGGTTGCATTTGGACTACCACTACATTATTTTTCATGCGAGTATTCCCGTGCAGTGCTGTTTCCTAATTCACTTTGAGTTAGAGCAACCATAGCATTTCAGTCGTGCCTCTTTGCCAATGGTGGATGATTCAGGGCGCCGTGAACGTAGCCTGCAAATTACATTTACAACGCTGTGAACATAGATATCTAGATCTAGCCACAGCACTGCGAATAAATATCAATTAAGATTTAGAATCTAAGAATCTAGATCTACTTGAAACTGAACGAAAATGATTAGCAGCAAGAAATCTTTTGACCATTGTCTTCCCGATAAAAAGTGACCTCCACCGCCGTTTTGCCCAATTAACGAACCGCCCCTGATCATAGATGATTAGATAGACCAACAACACTCTTCTACTGGCTCTACACACACACACACACTCATCATGGAAAGTGAAAGCAAGCGGGGCAAGCCTGACTCGCAGGAATTTTCTCTCATCTGCAGCAGTGAATTTGAAGAAGAATATACTCTCTCGATCCTCATACTTCAATCTACAGTTGAACCTGCCCTGATGGCCACCTGTACAAACGGCGACTTTCCATTTCCCCCCTTGAGTTTTTTCTATATAATTTAACTGTGTAAAACGGGCACCTGTCCAACGCGGCCGCGGCCACCATATTTTAACACACAACCCCTATCACAATAAGCAATAACACCTGTCTTAGACGGCCACCTTAGTGACTCCATTACGATTTGTCATAAATTGTGCATTGCCCGCTGGTGTTGTGGGCGACCCGTCATAATTCAATCCCCTGTCGTTGTTAGGTAGTCCCTCAAACCGATCATGTTGCGTAGGCCCCTCCCACTGTTGACCAGTAGCTACCAATTTTCAGCAGCTGTTGAGGTAAGCGTGTGATCCCTCATAACCCATAAGCCACGCCCAGAACTCATACACAACTGCTAAGTGAGATGAGTGGTCACTGTTGACCCAGTCTGTACCAAAGTCTTGTGACAGAAGCGTCACTCGTTCTCCGAGTGGTGGCGACCCACGTGTTCTTTTTAACATGCCACTCGGTCTTCCTCGCCTGATACATTTCGTTTTATTTTCACCCTTGTGCAAAATCAGCATCAAAATAAAAACGGAGTGTCTACGTGCACAGTAACCGGGCACGTAGCCTCAGGGTCTACGTACACGGTAACCGGGCACGTACGCTGGCCTCAGTGTCTACGAACACGGTAACTGGCAACCGGGCCTATAGTCTCAATATCTATGTACACTGTAACCGGGCGCGTAGCCTCAATATTTACGTACACGGTAACCGGTAACCGGGCGCGTAGCCTCAATATCTACGTACACGGTAACCGGGCGCATAGCCTCAATATCTACGTACACGGTAACCGGGCACGTAGCCTCAATATCTACGTACACGGTAACCGGGCGCCTCTCATTATCTACAAACACGGTAACCGGGTATTTTGTTTCGGGGGGCGGCGGCCTTGAGCTAGGTGCACGGTAACTGCTTCCCTCCCTTCACGACCGTGACCTTTTTCACTCCGCTTTTTGTATGTTGTGAGCGGAATGTAATCCCAAAAATGATCCCAATCTACTCTCTGTCTTCTTTCCTAAGGGAGAGCAAAATGCAGTGACACTGAAAATCTTACTTAGCAGAGAGCTGTAGTTGTAATCAGAATTCTAAACATTAAACATATTTGCTTCCAGTTTCAGTTGGGTTTTTTTTTTTGTCCTCTGGTGTTGCGTCCAGCCCTAGCCCCCTCCCCCCCCCCTATCCTCGAGTGCGTCTCTTAAAAAAATCAATAAACTCCCCCCATTCCTGGGTCCTGTACTTTGAAGCGTTTAGAACACGCGCAGGTTTATTGACCAGTCACAATGGCGAGCCTGACAAGACGCTTGTAAAACTTTCTTTTCTTTATGTTGCCCCCCCCTGACAGTGACAAATATTGATTTATTTTCATGGCGACACCACATTTGTAATGCCCAACCTTCATGTTACAATAATTGTTGCGTTATAAAATCAGACAATTACTGACAAATTTCTAGGTGGTAACGAAAGCGAAAGTAAAGGCTTACTGGACGCTCGTTATGAAATTTAGTGGGTATCATGCTGGACTATAGAGCGGTTGACCCTAGTGCGTCCTCTTAGAAAAAGCGCAAACTTTGCGAACAGAGTTACCCTACTTGTATGAAAAACAATAAAAGTGACACTCTTTTTGGCTGAGTGAACTATCTCTTGGGGAAAGTGGCTATTCTCACCCGGGGTGAGAATAGAAATACGATCTACTTCTCACCCAGGGTGAGACTTGCCAGCGTAGGCTATTCTCACCCGGTGTGAAACAAGACCTGCTATTCCTCATTTCGGAATACTTTCTATCGGTGTGGATGATCAAATTGATAAAAGCCAAGAAAAAAATTACGTTATAGCACAAAAGTAAGTTAATTTGATCGTCTTCAAAGATGCTATGGCTATTTCACTTTTCGAATCGAGCCGAACTACGCGGGTCGCCATTTTGTTTTGCCCGGAAGTTTTCGCAAGATCTACTCCTCCCCTCTCTATCTCTTTCTGAATACTGTCTATTGGTGTGGACGATCAAATTGACCAAAACAAAGTGAAAAAATGATTTTAATCAAGAAAACTAAATGAATTTGGTTGTCTACAAAGATGCTACGGCTATTTAACTTTCCGAATCGAGCCGAACTACGCGGGTCGCCATTTTGTTTTGCCCAGAAGTTCTCGCGCTACTCCTCTCTCTCTCCACTGCCCATGACAAAATTGCACGCTTTTAGGCTAACACTAACAGTAGTAGTAATAAGTAATATATTTAGATCTAGAACGTTTGTTCACAGCACAGAATTCTATAATTCTGTTATCAGTGTAGAATTCTGTGGTTCAGGGTGAACGCTTCACTGGTTGGCCTAGGCTATTACTATTACTATAACGGTGAACGCCCACCGGGTGAGAATAGCCAAAAGACTCGCCTGCGCTATTCTCACCCGGGGTGAGAATAGAGGTGGCCATCTCTTGGTTGGACCCTACAGTTACCGTGTACATAGATACTAAGACTACTTGCCCGGTTACCGTGTACGTAGACCCTGAGGCTATGCGCCCGGTTACCGTGTACATAGACACTCCGAAATAAAAATTACAAACAAAATACAAACGGCGCTTTTTCGGTAGTTCCCACCCCCCTTATTTGATAGAGCCTGACCTACATCTAGATCTATATACGTTTGATTCGCGGCAAGCTAAGATGTCAAACCTAACAACTGCAAAACATTAAATTGTGGTAAAATTCAGGGGGGCATGCCCCCCTGAAACCCCCCACCTTGTTTTTTTTAGGTCAGGGGGGCAAGCCCCCCTGAAACCCCCCTACTCTTGGGACCAAAGCCGGCTAATAACAAATGCGGGGTGGGAACTACCGAAAAAGCGCCATACAAACCACCACCAACAACAACAAAAACAACAACAATGCGGCTACTTTCAATTGGGACCTCAAATGAGAATGGTCTGTTTTCTTCATCTTGATCAGTCCTGCCTAAGATGGCCACCTGTCTTATACGGCCACTTTTCTCCTTGACAATGGGTGGCCGTCTTACACAGGTTTGACTGTATTTAAAAACACGAATAATTACCGCGTCATCTTCTGCTCTGTTTCTCTCCTTCCCTGTCCTCCGACTGGGCTGTGCCTCTTGTTCCTGAGCGATCTGCTCATGCAGTCTCTTTCTCTGCTTCTTCACTTTTCCCATGTCTGCACGCTTTGACAATAAATCTGATAAAGTTGGGCACTGAAAATGTTTCGGTATTTCTGTTAAATATCTTCAAATGGGTACGTTTTCAATTATGCCTGAAAAATTTATACAGATCACAGTCTCCAGCCTATGTCGTTGCCTTCGGCCTTCGGACCATAACATGACATGTGGTTGAGTGGAAATTGTAAACAAATAAAAAGTTAAGCATTATTTCGTTTCGTTTCATTTGTCTATGGCTTCTTTTCCGCTTCCGGTGTAAGCACCAATCAACTGTCTTGTTACAAAATTGCCGGTGTGTGTAGTCGTGTACACTCGCCAGCAGACACTCGGAGAATACGTTGGAAAAGATACTGAAATTGGAAACTGAAAGGTACAGTTGTGATTTGTTAAAAGAGCATATTCGTGCATGCTGTTAAAAGTCATTTATATGCATTTCTGAATTTGATAACAAAATGTGGCAAATCCGCCTGGACTCCACTCTTTTATAGCGAATCTAATATCTAGAATCTAAATCTAGGCCAATAACACACGACACGTCTTCCAAGTGTACCACACTTACAACACGAGCATGGGTGGGGATAAAACAATTTTGGTGTTGTATTGGGCCAAGTATGTGGCAAGTATATAAGTGGATCCTCGTCCCATTACTGAACAAACTCAGCCTCAAGATATAAATATGGTGTTTCCATCTTCAAAGGGCTCTGTCTTGAAAGATGCATAGATCTAGTTTCCTCATGCCATCATTCAATTTCGGCTCAATTTCAATTGCTGTTCTGTGGAAATACAAAGCAAGGGGATGATTAGATCTAGAGTACGTCGCTGTGGTCAGATGTAGGCCTAGAGGTTACGTCACATCATTTGCAGACATTTATTGACTAATATCTAGATCTAGCTAGTGACGTCATTGAGGGATTCCCACTTTGTTGTCAGTCATGTTGGCAACACGACCGCACGACTGCAGCCGAACTGAATAGTAGGCCTACTCTTAGTCTTCTTCTTCTTCTCAATGTACATACATAGTGCACGGCATCAGAATCAATCTGGGCGGAAGAAGGGTGCTGCACAGTCGCAGACGAAGGAACGGATCAGTTTCTGCAAGTTTCAAAGAACATAGATCTCAGCCCTATCCATTGGGCATTGGCAGGCTGCCGGCTGTTGTCGTTGACAACAAAGTGGGAACCCCTCAATGACGTCAAACAAGATGGCTGTTACTATAAATATAACATTGACCTATGATGTACATCTAACATTCTCTAATTTAGCAATGCCAATCGCCAACTGCGCCTTGGGCCGAAAATCGGCCTCTGCGCGAGGGGTAATTTTTGGGCCGCTCGGAATCAGAAGTGACTCTTCTATGTATAGTTACGGGAAAACTCCTGAACGAAAATAAATGAAACTCGGCAACCAATCAGAGAAAAAGTTAAACTAACAACATGCCAGCGTAAATCCCGAACGATTACTAGATTAGAACCGGAGATATTGCCGTGTTTACATTGTGCGAATTTCCTCTGCGGTTTGAAAAGTAAGCGGAGCTGCGGGTTGATCGCCGACCACACAAGCGCCCCACATGTCTTCTTTATTGCTGTAAAATATCAGATCTCTGCATTTAGTAGATTTTACGTACCAACATAAAATTACCACCCATCTATTGATAAAACACTAGAGCTGGAAACTAGATCACGCATTCCTAACGCGAGGTGCCGGCATGCAAGAGGCGTGTGCTCGCTAGGCGGCATGTGATTGGCTGCCTATAACTAAATAGGCCACCGATGACTACATCGCGGGTTTTTTCCGATAGCGCTTTACTGAGTTTTAGAAGGGGTGATCGTGTCGCGGTAAAAACGATGTCACGCAATTCAACAAATTTCATGCAAATATCAGTCTTTAAGATCCAAAGTAATAAAGACATCGAAAAAGTGATAGCAGAACTAGATTCTGCACTAAAAAATCACATGAAGAAGCCAAGTTTCATTCATGCTCCAATTCATTACTGACTTTTATGAACAGTTATTTTCCTCAAAATACATCAACAAGACATGTCCCACATTTTGGCGATTTTTTCTTATAAGGTCCTCCAACATTTTGCAAACAAAAATCTCAATAACCTTTTTATTTATCAATGGAGTTTTAAAATTTAAAAAACCCATAGTTCTTAGAATTTACTCTATTTTCATTTAAGCCCATTTTTAAGCAATTTGGATGAAAATTTAATTTTTCATTGTCATTGCTATCTAATTATCTGCTTGTAACTTGTAATAGAAATTGGGGTAGATTCTATGTAAGTTGACAGAGTCTGGTTTTATTTTTGGCCAGCTCTATTTCTCCGAAGGCTCTGGAAAATAAACTTGAACTCTGTTTCTCCGAACGGTTTCCATTCTCGACATTTGTTGAAAATAATTGCAAGTGGAGTGGCCTGTGAATGTGTGTCTGTGAGTGAGTGTGTGTGTGTGCGTGTGTGTGTAAAAAGTGTGTACGAGGTGGGGGGGCGTGGAGGGATTTTTTTTGTTTACATGAAGGATTTTAGTTTTTGCTTTAGGGTGACTAAATGTAAAATAGGTTAGTGCCAAGGTTGATCAGTCTTGTTTTCTCGCAGTACCTTTTGAAGGCATTTTCAAATGAAGCATAGTCCGGGAACGTTGCCCCAAAAGCACTACTGAAGTATCTGAATATTCAGACATTTAAAAATCTCTAGCTCTAGAAATTGAATTTGATGCTAAAAATGCTTCTTCGGGGACCACTCTGAACTGTCCATTTTTAGTTTTAAAGTTTTTAAGGTATCGAATTTATTTTAGTCATTGATTCATATCAAGCCTGTGATAGCAAATAGGCAAAGAGGCAAAATAATGGCATCTTTAAAACTTAAGTTGATGCTTCCTTCGGCTGTGAGCTCACAGTGTGGATTTCCTTTGCCTTATTTTACCATGTTTTTTATTTTTTAAAGGATATTTCTTTGGGGGTGGGGGGGGATCTAAATTGTGGTGACACCCCCCTTCGTTCCATGCTAGCTGCAGGATGAACGTTGCCCTTGAATTGTACTGTAAACATTTTGTTTGTCAACAAGTTATTAATTATGCCCTTTCAAACCTTTTGTTTTTCCAGCTGCCTTAGCCATGAAGACGTCTCAAGGGACCTGGGGTCTGCAGTGGCTCCTGAAGATGTCTCCAGATAAGCAAGACACGCTGTTGAAGATGGTCATTCTCGCTGTAGCAGCTGTATTGTGTAAGACAAGTTTTTGCATTTCATAGAGGTGCCTGAATAGTTGATGGTTTATTTTTGCAAGCTGTTGTACCATGGTGATAGCTGTACTTTTTTCTTCTGAGTTATTGTAACCGTAAAAATCCTGATTGCTTCTGTTGTTCTTGATCAAGCATCTGTTTCCTTTTACTGAAACATAAAAAGCAATACGGCAGGCTATGCTCCCATTCTTGAAAGGTTGCCAGCCTACAAATTTGCTCTTCTGGCTACATATGATAGCGAGATTATGTCAAAACATAATTATGCATGTGGCTGAATTCATCAATATTATTTTTACCTTTTTTCCCCTTGACAGTTGTAGACTTAAAGCTAGTCATTATCAAGACTGCTGTCATACTTGTTATCCATAGGTTTTTTATAATATTTATAATCTACAGCTTTTTCCACTCGTCTGTTCTCTGTGCTGCGGTTTGAGAGTGTCATCCACGAGTTTGATCCTTATTTCAACTACCGCACGACCCGCTTTTTGGCTGAAGAAGGGTTTTACAACTTCCACAACTGGTTTGATGACAGAGCGTGGTATCCTCTTGGCAGAATTATTGGTGGCACCATCTACCCAGGTACTGCAGTGTTATTTCCCCTTTGTGTCGACTTGTCTGCTCAGGACTTGACTTCTTTCAACTTAACGTCACTTAAATCCTGGGGGGGGGTTATTTGGTTTCTTTTCTTTACTGAAGCATTTAGACAACTATCAAACATTGTGAAAGACTGGTATCACCAGTTAACTTATTTCCCACATGTTCCATTATGTTGGTGCTCTTATAAAACTTCGATCATTAGTCAACTTTTTAAAAAATTGAATTAAAACCCGGCATTTATTATTTGATGCATTAAGTTTAAAGCTTAGTCTGTGGGGCTCTCGTGGCCTAGAGGTTAAGGTGTTGACCTCTCATTCAAAAGGTCCCGGGTTCGAATTCGGGTAGCGACCGAAACATTTTTTTCTCTAAATTTGTCTCTTTTCACCTCATTTCCTGCTCTCTAGCAATGTTCTGTCGTTTGCTTTCGTCTCCTCTTTCTGCTCCCACCCCCTCACCTCCTTTGCCCCTTCCGCTGGGCTCCTAATTCTTTCTGCCGCCTTTCTACTGCTACTCCTACGCTTCTTCTTACTGCTGTCTTTCTGCCACACACCTGATCTTCTGGTAGGAAAGATCTACACCTAGCCTTCTCGGACAAGGGCGAAAAATCTCGGAGGGCTCGTGTGCAAGTTGGGAACGTTAAAGATCCCTTGGTGGTCTAAAATTAGGTACCAGAAACTAAATTTTCAAAGTAGCTGTATGCCTAATTTATCTGCTCCATTTGAAAGGCCTATATCCACTGAGCATTTTGGTACCATTCTTTAACCTCTCAGTCAATTTTAAAGAAAACGGTAGTTGTTTAAAATTTGATCAAATTTGTTAAAGTCAGTCACTGGCTGCACCCCATGTTTGACAGACAATAAAAGAGTACCAAGTGCACTAAACATCTCAACATTAACAGAGTACAATCACTATAACAAATTTATGGACCTAATTTTTTTCAAGACTGTGAAATCATTACAAATCAGTATTTTATCGCCTAAAACACGATGATCTGTCGTTATTTCGACAAAAACACCGAGCGTTGATCCGGCCGGCGCCACACCGGGCCCCGTGGCGAACGAGTCGGCTTATACTGTAGTGTACCCTGCGTGCGGGGTCACATGATTTCCGAGTCTCGTGGAAGGATTGATGTAAAATAATTCCAATGTGGTTACTTATTCCAATAGAAAATAAACCGATCTTTTTTCCTTTTTCAAGCCGGTATTTTACATATTTTGTGTAAAAAGTTATCTTCAAACATTTTGACAGCATTTTTAAAAGCTTTTTGTTTAAACGCCAAAGGCCAAATATATACCACGGGAAAACCCGTTTAGAGCTCTACAGTTCTCTGCCAATGAAAAGACGGTATTTAATCATCGTAAACATCGCTCGTTCGGCGAAGCATTTGAATGCACGCATGTCAATTTTTTAACCGGCCGACCACGCATTCCGACCGCGAGGGGCTTCACTTTCGTCGGCGATTCTCCAGCTCCTAATAATCGGACATTCAAACAACTTACACCACTGTAACGAGGAAAAGCTGAACTTTTATAAGGTGTACGGCATTTGGTGTTTTATAGCGAAAGAGCAAAGAAACAGCTATCGGAATTTCCCTGATTTCACTGATACCATGCGATCGGAAGGCCACGAGTGCCCGCGAGACCGTGTTTACGCTACCTACTAAAATCTATAAGAGTAGGCTTCGGCCGCCACCCGTGCAAAATTCAAAATTTCCTACCAACTGAAAATATTAGGTGTTATTCGTTTAGTCTGTCAACTGGAGTTTGATAAGGCACACTTTGTGTTTAGTTTGACTTTTTTGTCGTCAAGCTGTTAGTCATCCCGTCTACTGGTGCTATGCTTAAAATAGTGAGTTCAAAGGATGTAAGTACTATTTCTTACTTTTTTCCCACTTTTTTCTAAAATCTTTTTTCTGGGTTTCCCACCCCACAGGTCTCATGGTAACATCAGCTTTGATCTACCATGTCATGAACTTCTTCCATCTGACCATTGATGTGAGGAATGTTTGTGTGTTCTTGGCACCTCTGTTCTCCAGTTTCACCACCATCGTCACTTTCTACTTCACAAAAGAACTCAGGGTTTGTAAAGTCCTCCCAGATTGCGTGAGACAGGAAAAAAAATTATCGTTGGCCAGCTGTTAAAATGTATTACTCCCAAAATTCTGAAAATACTTTTATATTGCTGTTTCATAATCTGTGGTATTGGTTGAATGAGCTTGAAAAATATTTTGTCAAATTTCAAATTCTAACTGTGGATAAAAAGCAAGAAAAGATACATAAAGATGGTACACTAGTTAAAAAGAATGAAACCTTTTATCTCTTAAAATCATAAAACACTCATTTGTTAAATAAAGTTTCCATAATGAAAAGGTACAGGTTGTGCACAAATCTCTTATCATGGGCAAATACGGTAGAACCCTTACTAAAACATAAAGAACACTTTATGGTTTCCTTATTTGATGGTCCCTATTGCTTAATGTTGAGCGTCTCCTCTGTGATGTTATCTTCTTGTACTAACTTGTTATCGTTATTTGCAGGATGCTTCTGCCGGTCTGGTGGCTGCTGCTATGCTTTCCATCGTCCCTGGCTACATCTCTAGGTCCGTAGCAGGGTCTTATGATAACGAGGGTATTGCCATCTTCTGCATGCTGCTCACCTACACCCTGTGGATCAAGTCCGTCAAAACTGGATCTATCTTCTGGGGAGCCCTCTGTGCTCTGGCATACTTTTACATGGTGAGGACTCTTCTATCTGTCTGTTGTGGTGATACAAAACACCACCAAAGATATAGTTGTAAAGTGGTAGGCGGGTGCTCAGGTGTGGTTTGTTCCTTTCTTTCCTGTCGAAACAATCTATAGTTCTTATCTCTCCTCCTTTTATGTGTGTGTTCCTTTATTGTAACACCTCTATTCTTTGTCACTTAAATGATATAATTGTGTTGCAAACACCATATAACATTTACTAAATAGTTCAATGTAAAAATACTTGTTTTGTTTCTAAATAGAAGAGGATTGGCAGGGGTACTCAGTTTAGTAGGTCTATTCGTTCATCAGTTTTGTCTCCTACCCTTGTTTGATTTTTCTTTCTTTCTTTTTTTTTTCGTCTGTCTGACTCTGTCTCTCTGTCTGACTCTTTCTTTTTTTGAAGCTTGTGTTTGGATGGCACCATATGTGTTATTAGATCAATGTGCGTCTCTGTTTTCAAACTAAGAACACATTTTTTTTTCCTGTTTCGGTCTTTTATGGAGTTCATGTTGATAAAGCTCTTTTTCATTTTACTCTTGTACTTCTGTATTTTAGGTGTCGTCTTGGGGAGGCTACGTGTTCTTGATCAACTTGATTCCCCTTCATGTCTTGATGTTGATGATCACCGGTCGCTTTTCTCATCGCATCTACGTTGCCTTCTCCACTGTAAGTATTGATTATTAAAAATTGATGTAAGTAGGTAAGAACGATCTCATAGTGAAACTAAGTATTCGAACATAGAAGAGAGCGTACAATTTTAAAAGAACTACTCTTACACAACAACAACAAAAAGTCTGTGATTCAGTATTGTGTAACTGGATGAAGAACCACTCACTGTGGTGCTGATATTCTAAGGTTATGATTGAAGTAAAACATTGCATTTATTCAGTTACATTGTGTTTCTGGGCTGTGCTTAGAACTGGTGGGATAGGCACTTCTCATCAAGAATCAGCTCGGAATGGAAACCATTAATAGAACCACCGAAGGAAGAGGGAACAGCAGTGAATGCATAGATCTGGATTATGTTGATCCTTGTTCTACAAACAAATAGTAAGCATATATGTGCAACTTTACTGTTTCGTCTGGATTTTTGTAATTTTTTCAACCCAGTGCTTTTCTTGTTTCTTTGTATGAATTTGTGATACCTGTCAAGTTAAAAAGAAAAAAGAAATGATGTCTTTGCTTCTTTGATTTTGCAGGGCTTATTGAAATGAAATATTCTGGTTATATGTCCTTCTTGGGTTTTTTTTGTTTGTTTTATCTTTTTGTAAATGAAAGTAATTTTTGCTTTGCGCTTTGATCACATTAAATCTTTTGTAGTAAAACATTGTAATCCCTTGCTTTATTTCCTAACATCTGCTTTTTGCAGCAGCATTGTTCTGTTATTTTAGATTTTCTCTCCTTTTTTTTTTTCAGGTGTATTGTCTGGGAACCATCCTGTCTATGCAAATCTCTTTTGTCGGATTCCAACCTGTCCAGTCCAGTGAACACATGGCTGTGAGTATACAATATCTTTTCTCCTTTCACTTCCGCCAATCAAAAAAAAAGAGAAAATAATGTTCATAGAAAGAGAAAGTGGGTGGTTGGCGGGTGCTCTGCTGTGGTTTGCTTCTTCTTCCCTATCAAACATCTATCGTCCTTATCTCTCCTTCTTTTTTGTATTTGTTACTCTCTTGTAACACCTCTAATCTTCGGCACTTTTATAAAACTAAATAGAAAGAGAAATAAGCACTGATGCTGTGCCCATACAGAAGTATTCCTATGACCTTTAAAGTTAAGCATGCATCAGAATAGGTAGCGTAAACACGGCCTCGCGGGCACTCGCGGCCTTCCGACTGCGTGGTATCGGTAAAATCGGGTTAATTCCGATCTTTGTTTCTTTGCTCTTTCGCTATAAAACACCAAATGCCGTACACCTTGTAAAAGTTCAGCTTTTCCTCATTACAATGGTGTAAGTTGTTTATATGTCCGATTATTAGGAGCTGGAGAATCGCCGACGAAAGCGAAGCCCCTCGCGGTCAGAATGCGAGGTCGGCCGGTTGAAAAATTGACACGCGTGCATTCAAATACTTCGCGGAACGATGGATGATTAAATACCGTCTTTTCATTGGCGGAGAACTGTAGAGCTTTAAACGGGCTTTCCCGTGATATAAGTTTAGCCTTTGGCGTCTTTATAGAAAGCTTTTAAAACTACCGTCAAAATGTTTAAAGATCACTTTTTACACCAAATGTGTAAAATACCGGCTTATAAAAAATTTTAATTAAAAGATCAGTTCATTTTCTATTAGAATAAAGTAATTAAATTGGAATTATTTTACATCAATCCTTCCGCGAGACTCAGAAAGCATGTGACCCCGCACGCGGGGTACACTACAGTATAGAGCCAACTCGCTCGCCGCGGGGGCCGGTGCGACGCCGGCCGGGTCAACGCTCGGTGTTTTTGTCGAAATAACGACAGATATCATGTTTGAGGTGATAAAGTACTGATTTGTAAAGATCTCACAGTCTTGAAAAAAATTATGCTCCATATATTTGTTATAGTGATTGTACTCTGTTAATGCGGAGATGTTTAGTGGACTTGTTACTTTTTTATTGTCTGTCAAACATGGGGTTGCAGCCAGTGACTGACTTTAACAAATTTGATCAAATTTTAAACAACTACAATTTTCTTAAAAATTGGCGGAGATGTTAAAGAATGGTACCAAAATGCTCAGTGGATATAGGCCTTTCAAATGGAACAGATAAATTTGGCATACAGCTAGTTTGAAAATTTAGTTTCTGGTACCTAATCAGAATACCATTGAGTTACAGTCAGAATTCAGAGTAAGTATCTACCTTCACACTATTAATGTCTATAATTACTGTTCATTGATAAAATGCATGTGACTGTGAGCCTGTTTGCGAGTGCAAGCATACCATTATATTACTATGGTTATGCGCACAGGTGTGTGTGGAAGAGAGGATGTGTGAGGGAAGAATGTGTGTGTATGTGTACTTGGTGGAAAGATACTTTAAGATAAAGAGTTAATAAGTTATGAGGATTTTTTTGGGAAAGTTTTTGTTTTAACAGAGTCAGTCTGTCCTGTACTCTATAAAGTCACGTAACTCATTTTGCCATCCAACAACAAGTCTGATCTTGGGGGTATATTTGTATTTGCAGGCCCTTGGCGTGTTTGGTTTGTGCCAAGTCCATGCCTTTGTCGACTATCTTCGCTCCAAGATGTCCAAAGACCATTTCAACATTCTGTTCAGAAGCCTTGTCCTGCTGGTTGGCACTGCTGTGTTTGGTGCTGCTGCTGTTGCAACTGCTCTTGGCAGTATCCTTTGCACTTGAAAGAATTTTTGCTAAAAGCTTGGGGGGGATTCCTTCTGTTATGTTTTATAGTCTAGCTGACACAAAGTAAAGCACGCACTTAGTGAACAGATTTTCAGGTCCCAAGTTTTTTCTTGTATACATGTTTAGTCTTTGTATTTAAAATACATACATAGCGAGATTTGTAAATAGAAAAAAGATTTCAGGGTCCTTCTGTTTTCACTATGTGTGTACAAGATTGCATGTGTAGATATTATATATATTTTTTAAAAAATATCTTCTAAATTCAGAATAAAACCTTTTTGAATTTGTTTTAGTAAAAAATATATAATCTTGACTGATAGGAATAAATTTAAGGTGGCTCATAAAAAATAAGAAGCTTAAGCTGAGTAAAAACAGGCTAAAGTGAAAAACAGCCCTGGAGTTTTGCCCATACTGTGTTGTATGTCAGAGGGATAAGTCCTGAGAACATCGTGCCACCAGACGACTGTCTTGCTTGATTGTCTCTGGTTAATACATAGTGCTTGTGGTTGCGGTGGCGGAGCGGTTAGTGTGCTCGTCTTTGAAGCGGAAAGTCCAGGTTTGAGCCTCGGTTTGGACATGCTTTTTTTCCCCCCCTCCTGCTCAACCAGCAGTAATGGGTACCTGACTTTGAGTTGAGGAAGTAAAGGCGGCATGGAAAGGAACTGGCCATCCTACCACAGTATGTCGAAGGCCCAGGAAGTTGTCTCACGAACAAGGCAATCCCCAGTGTCCAGATCGGATCGGGAACAACTTTTTACTTAGTGCTTAGCTTAGCGTTTTAGTCTTCATTCATATACATGATTAATCATACAGGGAAGCAAATCAAAGGATTTCTTTATGCTTTATTTTTTATGTGAATACGTTTTTGAAATTTCCTGCTGTTTATGTACAGGATTATTTTGTCCCCTGTGCTGTTGTTTCCTTGACCGCTCCCCCCCTCCCAGAAATTGCTCCATGGACTGGCCGTTTCTACTCCCTGCTCGACCCATCTTACGCCAAGAACAACATCCCCATCATCGCCTCCGTCTCTGAGCATCAGCCAACCACCTGGAGCTCCTTCTACTTTGACCTCCAGCTGCTCATGTTCCTCTTCCCCGTGGGCCTCTACTACTGCTTTGTGAAGCTCACCGATGCCAACATCTTCATCATCATGTACGGTGTGACCAGCATTTACTTTGCTGTAAGTAGTAAAATCCATATTATCATATTAGGTGTAAAATCCATTTTGTTTTCTTATCATATTATGTGTAAAATCCATGTGTTTTTTTGTCATATTATGTGTAAAATTCATGTGTTTTCTTGTCATATTATGTGTAAAATCCATGTGTTTTCTTATTATATTATGCGCAAAATCCATGTGTTTTCTTATCATCATATTATGTGTTTCCGAAACTATATTCAGAGCGCTGTTGTAAAGTGGTACAGTGAAGTTATTTGTTAGTCGGGCCCGTGTGTCACTTTAGTAAGGTCACCTCTGTGGCTCTGTTATGCGACTGCTGTTTAGATTTGTAAATAGCTGTCTCTTTGTTATTTAGCTTTTTGTCCGTTTTTTATTTAGCTTCTGTCTGTCTGTTATTTAGCTTTTCACAATGGTGTATAATTCCAAATGTTTCTCTGCTTGTTGACATTTTAGATATAAGTTTGCCCTAATGTATCTTTATAACAGAAAGTTGGTACTTTTGTCTTTTGATTGTATGGCTACTGTACAATATGCCTGTAGATGTTCAATTCCGTATTAGTAATATGCAACACTCTATTGTACTCTGTATTGCAAACTTACAGCTTAACGCGAATATGCGTACTCAGACGTTATGCAGTTGCGAGCGCGGTAAAACGTTTACCAAAAGAAAAAAGAATAATAACATGTATATGAGATAAGTCAAATCTTTGCTGGTCTGTCTGCTTCCATTGGGTTGTTTCAAATCAACCCAACTGGCCGTTCTCAGTATTTGGGTGGTTGGAGGGCACGACTGGTAGGTCTAGCTTCTTCTTTCTTTTCCCTTCTCTTGTTTCTGCTTACCTGTCGTACCTTTTCCCATGTTGATGAACACACTTTTTAACTCAAACAAATCAACCAACCTTGAGTGGTTGGCGGTTGCTCTGGTGTGGTTTGCTCCTTCTTTCCTATCGAACATTTATCTTCCTGGTCTCTCTCTCCTTCTTTTTTTGTCTTTGTTTCGCTCTTATAACACCTCTAATCTTCGGCACTTATATGACCTTATTGTGTTGCAAGTGCTGTAAAACTCGAACGAAAACTAAAAACAAGCCAACCATTCTCAATAAAACGTGATTTGTGTGCAGGGTGTGATGGTACGTCTGATGTTGGTGCTGGCCCCTGTCATGTGCGTCCTGGGAGGCATTGGCATGTCAGCTGTCCTGACAACCTACATGAAGAACCTGGACAATCCAATGAAGGAAAAGAAGAGCAAGAAAATTGAGTCAAACTACCCGCTCAAGAATGAGGTAAGTTCCGGAGACAAGGGTGGAGCATGTGTATTGCATGTTGAATATATAATACAGTATGACTTTTGATAGGTCGAACACAGATGACTCGATTTCACGCATCCGTCGAACTGTGTCTTCGGTTGCAGTTTTTTTTTCTCCTGCTTTATCTTTGTAAGATATCCCTCACACTACGGACCCCTCGAATTACATAGGCCGGTCCCGACGAATTCGAGCTATCCATTTTATATTATATATATATAGAGAGAGAGGGGGTAGAAGTTGGGTAAAATATTCATTGAAGGAAAATAAAGCTCTTTGTTGCATATTTAAGTAAGATTTGTTCGTCAGTGATTAGATTCTGTTATTCCAGTTTAGTTTTGCATTTTGGTCTAATGCTTGCTTTATTGTATTTGTTTTTGAATTCTCATACTGTTTATATTTCAGGTGGTGTTTCTTCATAGTCTCTGCAGTGTCATTGGGCTTATTAGTTTTCAGTAGTTTTAACAATCGGCATGAAACTTTGCTGCTTGGAAGAAGTCATTCTGTATTCCTGCAATATCCCCCCCTCAGATTGCCAGCTGTGTGGTTATCATGATGACGACTTTCCTCCTGTTCTACACCTTCCACTGCACCTGGGTGACCTCGGAGGCCTACTCCTCTCCCTCCATCGTTCTCTCGGCTCGCGGAGGGGACGGCAGCAGGATCATCTTTGACGACTTCAGGGAGGCTTACTACTGGCTCAGGCACAACACCCCCGAGGTGAAGATACACAAACACACATACATGCACATACACACTACACGCCCTCACACACACATACACACAAACAGACACACACACACACACACAGTATTTGCTTCTATTTATTTCAAGCTCACCTTCCTTAATTTTAAAAAAAAATCTTTTTCTATTAATGTCTGATTGCGATCAGAAGTGGTGCAGATATTGTGGGGGTGAGTGGGTTTGGTTTTACTTCTTTTCTTACTATTGTTTCTGTCTATCTTTCTGTTTCCATGAGCACAATGAATGTATTAATATGTAGGGGGGCTCTCGTGGCCTAAAGATTAAGGTGTTCGCCTCTCATTCAAAGGTCCCAGGATCGAATCCGAGTAGCGACCAAAAATGTTCTTCTCTAACAATTGACTTCGTTCACCTCCTTCGCTGCTGTCTAGCAATGTTCTGTTGTCTGCTTTCATCTCCACTTTCTGCCCCACCCCCTCACCTCCTTTGCCCCCTCTTCTGGGCTCCTGACTCTTTCTACTGCTCCTCCTTGGCTCCTTACTGCTGTCCTTCAGCCACACCCCTGATCTTCTGGTAGGAAAGATCAACACCTAGCCTTCTCGGACAAGGGCGTAAAATCTCGGAGGTCCCGTGTGCGAGTTGCGCTCTTTAAAGATCCCTTGGTGGTCTAAAATCGATAAGAGTAGGCTTCATGTGGGGCAAAATTCAAAATTTCCTACCAACTGAAAAATGTTAAATGTGTCCCACACGCTCATATGACCTTATGCAGTTGCGAGTGCCCTAAAACACTTGCCAAAATAATATTTTTTTATATTGGTATGTCGGTGTGCTTTTTGTTCCTCAAAGAGGCAATCAGCAGTAACATGCTTGTATTGTCCTGTGTTGCCAATGTGGTGCTGATGCAACTTGTAGATTTATTCTCATCGAAATACATTTACTAGAAAAGACTACTCTGCTTGGTAGACTGGGAGCAGATGGGCATGATACATTCTTCCAGCAGCAGTCTCCTCAACAGTGTACTGTTGTCTTGGACAGATCGACGATTATTTTATATTGTATTGTATTGCATTGTGTTGTATATTATATCATATTATATTATATTATATTTGACTGTCTGCAGGATGCTAAAGTGATGTCGTGGTGGGATTATGGCTACCAGATTACTGCAATGGCAAACAGGACCATTCTTGTTGATAACAATACTTGGAACAACACGCATATTTCCCGTGTGGGACAGGTGAGATCTATCAGTTTTTCTGTGGCTTGATTTTACTAAACAGGCTGGCAGGAGGAAGTTGATCGAGTGATATTGTTTGGTAGTGTCCACACATGACACGGAATGTGGTTATAGTTCGCTACCTCAGAATTTTACAAAGTTTTATGTGACATTTTTTGCCAGTTTGAGTTACTAAGACCATGATGTCAGAGACTGAATGTTCTGTTTGCTCTATCAAAATTGTAAGATTATTCGGAGTCGATATCAAGATATTGAAAGAATTCCATTAGTAAAATGAGGACACATAGCGACGCTCAAAATTTTGTACGCCCAATTTCTCAAAACTTGGTACTGAGCTGATACAACTTTGTAACTCTAGGGTAGCGGGTTGTTTAGGCTTTCTTTTTAAATAAAGAATGTGTGTGCATCTTTGTAAGTGTGTTTGTGTGTCTGTGTGTGAGTGTGAGAGAGAGAGAGATGAAGATTGACATTCCAATGGCCTTATGAATTAACCAAGCTGAAGCAAATTTCTCTTGGTGAAAATCAATAGCTATTTTATATTTCTTTCCTGCTTTATTTATGTACAGTGCAGCCTCTCTATAACGACATCATTGGAACCAGAAAAAAAATTACTAATGAAATATAAGGAAAAAATCGGGACTTGGGCACCGTGTCGCAATACAGAGGATGTCGTTGTATCGAAGGTCGTTATACAGAGGCTGCACTGTATAAATAACTGTTTGTGTAAGAACTCAGTCCACCCAAGAGCCTCATTTTATCCCTTTTACAATTTTTTTTTGGTCTCTATAATCGGCAGCAAGAATATACCATGTTCAAAGTATAAAAATTCATCTTGGGGATCTATTACACGTGTTAAATCTGACAGCAGTCCACCCTCTTTGTGATGTCAAAATAAAGCACTGTGCAATTCTGGTTAAAATCCTTTTTTTGTGATCTTCAAAATTCAGCAAGAAAAAGGGTTACTTGCGAGCCTCTTACTTTATTAATTTTGGTACCCTGTTTCCGAATTTGAAATTATTTTCACCATGGGACACGGCATTCAATAAGTTTATAAAAGAAATTTTTAAAATTCTCCTTTGGAAGCACAGTTTGAAGGAATAAAAACAAACTGTATTGCATTTCTTCGTTAACATGAAATGGTGTTGCTGTTTTTTCCTCAGGCCATGGCGTCAACAGAAGATAAAGCATACGAGATAATGCGAGAGCTTGATGTCAACTACGTGTTAGTCATATTTGGAGGATTGACTGGTTATTCCTCTGATGGTAAGAACTTTACAACTTCAGTACGCTGTATGTCACCTTAAAAGTTGCTGCATTGCACCTCTTAGATATTAGATGTATGTTCATTTTGTCCTTCCCCTTGGATGTGTTGATGTATGTGTGTGTGTGTGATTTGGAGGGGAGGGGGTGTTAAAAGGTGGATCCCATGCACATCCTTTTAATGGTGTGATATTGGACACGTACGTGTTCACCTGTGATAGCGGGTGGTTGGCAGATGCCCTCGTGTGGTTTGCTCCTTCTTTCCTATCGAACAACTTTCGTCCCGATCTCTCCTCCTCCTTTTTTTGTGTTTGTTGCTCTCTTGTAACACCTCTATTCTTCTGCACTTGTATGACCTTATTGATTATTGTGTTGCAAAACACAGTAAAACATTAAAACAAACAACTGTGATATTTTTGGTGGCATGTCTTTCTATTGTTTATACGATTTGTTTCCGCGTGGCCGTACATTTTCGCCGTATTGTTTCTTTATTTAATTTTTTTCCCTCTTCTCAGATATCAATAAGTTCCTGTGGATGGTGCGTATCGGCGGCAGCACAGACCGCGGCGCCCACATCAAGGAGTGGGACTACTACACCCCACAGGGCGAGTTCCGGGTGGACAAGGAGGGCTCCTCCACCCTGCTCAACTGCCTTATGTACAAGATGTGCTACTACCGCTTCGGCTCTGTCTACACTGAGGGAGGTCAGTCCTGATCGCTAACTAGATAGCCCCCCACCCCCGCTCCCCCCGAGGCGAAGGGATACAATATTATGTGTTACTTGTTCCCTCTCCTCTTGGATTGGAGGATCCTGAGTCGGAGTCTCCGCAACTTCAGGTTTAAATAAGTATTAAGTTTATACCCTGGTTGTCAACTTGCAGCCTACAACCCCCTTCGAAATTTCCAACTTAGTATTTGCCACTGTACTGTCTACCTACTAAGGTCCTCTCTCCACTTGTCTTTTGGCCCACTAGAATAGACTGATACTAACAAGGTCAACTTAGCAGAGACTGTGCCCACCACTTCGGAACTTCACGACGGTGACATTAAAGATGGTTCCAGTAGATGATTCATCAGAGCAGAGGAAGAAAGGACTAGCGCTAACATAATTTAAAAGCAAAAATCAAACAACTAACAGAAGCATGTCTTCTTAATGATTATATACATAAGCACCATCCCACATCATCACTTATCACCCGTCACCACCACCGTCATTTCTAAAATCATCATTGCTCTCAGATCCTTCACAAAGGTCTATAATTATCTTGAACATCTATATGTAACAGTTATATGCTATAACAATTAAGTACGTAATACACTATTGGACACTATCATAACACCATTTTTCTACTAATAAGATGGCGTCGATATATCATAGACATGGGCAAGGGATAACAAAAAAAAGATAACCCCACCCAGTGAGACAGGGGGGGAAATGATCCCCCCCCCCCCCCCCCTACCCCATCCAGGGCTGTTTTGATAGTGTGGGTGGCCGATTAAACAGGCTGTAAGTTAGGTTCTGTAGCAGTGTCACGGCTCATTAAATCTGCCTAATCTGAAGTCACTATTTCAGTTCATTTCTGGTGTTTTTTTTATATGGCCAAAAATTTCAACTCCTTCACAAATAAGCTCTGCTTCTTATTTTTACATTCCACTCTCCGAATATTCGTAGGTTTATGGCTTTTACTTTCTTGGTTTGTCCTGTTCTCAAGCAAACTTGACGAACTAAGGGCTAACGTGAGACTTCTGCATGAATACAGAGAAGCCTCCGTTCTATGCTTCTCAGAGACCTGGTTCACTGAAGATGCCACCAATGCTAGTGTAGACCTAAAAGGGTTCAAGGTTTTTCAAGGTTTTTCGTACAGACAGGGATGGCTTCTCAAATAAAAGTCATGGTGGAGGTGTGTGTGCGTACATAGACGATCGATGGTGCCGCCCCAATAACATACTGGTTGTCCACCAGTCCTGTTCTCCCCATGTGGAAGTTCTCACTTTACATCTACGTCCGTTCTATCTACCCCGTGAGTTCCCAGGTATATTTATGAATGTTGTGTATATTTGTATATTCCTCCGCACACAAACGTCCCAAATTGCCACCGATACTCTATCCGACCTCATTCACAACCAAACCACAAAATCCTTCTGACGCGGCTATCTTTACTACCGGTGACTTCAACGATTGTACTCTTAACGCCCGCCCTATACAACTTGACCCAGTACGTCGACATTCCAACGAGACGCCAAAGGACAT